TGTTGAAAAAAGATTGGAGAAAGGTAAAGAGCCCCGGGCTTGACTTCATTAGAATGCCAGTATATTTTTTAACAGCAGGGACAGGACACTTGGAGATTGCTTGCTTAAGAACTTCCTCACAACTAATCATTGTCCGTTTATGCATAGCATGAATCATTTCATTTTGGGTCTTTATATCATACACTTTATTCAACTATGTTTGCATAATATGGACAGTGCAATAGAGAACATCACACTCCTGCTCTCCTACTTGCAGACCTGGGAAAGCCAAACCAACAGCACTTGCTTCTACGCTACTTTGATCGATAAGGAAGTACCTGGGCTTCCAATGGCATTCAAAACGCCTAATTATTTTTAATGTTTGAGCAATAGTGCTACTTTCCTCATTGCTTACAAAAAAATGTGAACCCACATCCCAACACCCATAACCATCACGAATATATAGCATAAATAAATGCCAATCATGCTTGTTGGTTTTGTGGGTGGAATCCATAAGAGTCAGCCAACCAAAACGGCGAAGTTTTTCTAATTGGCTATTATGTGTGAAAACAAAACCACAAGTACGTTGCTGTGCAACTTCATAACGTTCAACCCGGTATTCATGGTTTTTTAAAAAAACAACTAACTCTCGAACATCTAGCTCCAGTCTTGAACTACCAATAAGGGGGCTTTGTGAGATTCTCGAACTTTATACTGTATATTGGTAACCTCCTTGTGCTTTAATTCTTTAAGGCTTTCTCCAAGACCTAACTTCATACTTCCAAATTCTTTAACAGCATTAACTATCATGGGTGGTGGATAGTTTTTTATAGCTTTCCGTTCAACCAAAACCCGAACAGCTTCAAAACGCTTGAGCCTTTCACTATCCTCTAGTATGTGTATATGACTGGGCGAATCTTGATACCGTTCAACCTGAACTTTTAGCTCCGCAACAAATCTGGTTACTTTAATTTTAGCGAGACATAAGTTTTTAGGCTGGACTTTAGTTTTTCTGTGCTTTTCTACCGGTATTCCTTCTTTACGCATGCTTGATTTGTAGTGTTTAGTAAACTGACAATTATATACCCTTCATGAGTTTCTATTTGTATGAATTTTATAATTGAACTGAACCCAAACGTTTAAGATCAGAGGCCACCACTTGCTATTGAACTCGTCCAGTGGAACCTCAACCGGTTGATCAAGATTAAAAAGTATATCACGCTTCTGGTTGAGGGTTAAGTTCATATTTAAATATCAAAAGAGCCAGTGTTTTTTTTTTTAAAAAAAAAAAAAATTGTTAAAAAAAAAAAAAAAAATTTGTTAAAAAAAAAAAAAAAAAAAATTGTTAAAAAAAAAAAAAGTTTTTTTTAAAAAAAAAAAAAAAAAGATTT